TTCCCAAAGAATTTTGGGAAGCAATGTGGCCAACCTTCTCTTCAGATCTGATGGAATTTTTTGATTCAGTCCTTGAAACAGGACAAATGGGGAAGATGGTAGGGCAAGGCATTCTCACTCTTCTATACAAAAAGGGGGATAAAACAAATATCCGGAACTATAGACCAATCACATTACTTACAGTGGTTTATAAGATGTTAGCTAAAGCCCTAGCCAACCGGATGATTCCTATAATGCCTGACATTATTCACCCTTCGCAAACAGGATTTATTAATGGAAGACCTATTCAAGATAGTATTCTTCTCATCAAGGAAATGATTAAACTTTCTAGACAATCTAATCAAAATGCAGCTTTTGTATTTATAGATTTTGAAAAGGCTTATGATCATGTAGATTGGCGTTTCCTGGATGCTTGTCTACAAAAGATGAACTTTGGTCCTAACATAAAGAAGTGGATTGGGATCCAACATTCAAATGTCACAACAAAGATTCAAGTTAATGGACTTCTTTCTCCTGAAATTCAACTCCAAAGGTCAGTCAGGCAAGGAGATCCCTTGACCCCTTTCCTTTTTCTAACCATCATGGAGGCCTTAGGGGCAAACCTGCGAACCAACCGTAACATTAAACGAATACAGATCTCAGGTATACCAGAGGAAGCAACTCCCATTACCTCTATGTTTGCAGACGATCTCACTGTCATGATGGAGGCGTCATAATCAAACATGAAGGAGATTCAGGCTATGATGAAAAAATTTTCTCAGGTGTCTGACATGGTGGTTAATTGGGGAAGTAAAACACAAGGTTGGTGGATTCATTCCAATGGGGTACGCCCTCCGGAATACCCTAAAGTTAGTTGGGTTCCCCTGAACGCCCCGGTACGAATCTTGGGAGTCTCTCTTACAGCAAATGGTAAACCAGCTACTGATGATGACTGGATCTCCAAACCAGCTCTGGAAAAAATGAGCCAATGGGAAAATCAACATACCTCAATTTTTGGACGAGCACTCATCATTAACAATATTGTCCTTGCCTCAATCTGGTACAAATCAATACTTTGGTCTATCATCAAAGAGCGTATGCAGAATTTACGAAGACAAGTGTCAGCATTCTTATGGCGAGGCAATCATGAGCAGGACAAGGTGATCCCAATAGTAGCCTGACTCTCCTTAATCCAACCAAGGACGAGGGGAGGATTGAGGATTTTGGATCCAACTCTTCAATATCAGGCCTTATCATTGCAATGGATTAAGAAATTAATAATATCTACAGACAAGCCCTGACAGGTGCTAATATTTGAACAAATTCGTAGGTTAGCTCTTTTGTGTCCAGAGGATATACACCCCCTCACTTGGATTGAAGATCGTTATTGGACCATACCCAGGATGCAGTTTCATACCAGAGCAGAGGGGGTACGCGGGGCCACCAGAACTGATCTTACCTTGGATAATATGTGGACTTCCTTATTGAAGACATGGAGATGCCTTCCGTTGCCAAATAGGCCCTTTCCCTATCGTTATGAGGAGATATTGAGGCAGCCTCTTTTTGGCAACAGATGGATTACAGACTTGAATAGCTGCATTTTTAATAGTTCAAATCCGCCTTGGTCCTTGTGGGTTAAAAGGGGGGTACTCAGAATTAAAGATTTATGGAATCCAGATACCCAGGATTGGAAGACCGCTGATCAGCTGAGATCTATACTACGATATGCCCATCACTTATCTTCAAATCTAGACCAGATTATTTTTTTCATACCGTTAGCCTGGGTACAAATTTTGAGAAAAGGGCCAAAGATCAAGGAGGGAGATTGAGTGATAGGAGTCCAGCCTAATGGGCAACAGATGGCGGGACAAGTGATTCATCTAATTTCACAAGGAGCTATGGTGGGCTTGGTTAAAATCAACAAGGACCATCTTATATCACCGTCTCCTTCAAACATGGTAATCTTTTTCTCGATCACCTATATTTATCGTATTAAAATTTCTTCGTCTCTCATATTAAGGGTTGGCAGGCTTATAATCCTCAACTACCTATCACAAATCTCCCATTTGACCCAGAAGACTGGATATGGCAGACCAACAAGATAGGCAAGCCACGTACCCTGCAAAATATGTCGGTCAAAGCTGTATACCGCATGATCCGCCCTAAGGTGAATATTACAGCTATACTACAGGAACGGTGGTGGGCAAGACACATCAATATTAACATAAATTTGCTCAAACCCATAAAATTCTTCAAAAATATTAAACAAAGACCGGTGAAATTTGGATCCTTGCAATGGCAGATTGCCCACCGTTGCCTGCCCACCAATGACTGGCTGATTGATCACTCATCATTGGAGCAACAGGGTTTGGCGTTACCATGGTGTACAACTTGTCTGTCCGCTTTCCTAGTAAAAAAGTTAGGGAAACTATTGAACATATATTCATGCAATGTCAGGGCTCAGTCCTTTTTATGAAGAAGATGGGATTGTACCTGGAGGGAGATAACAGGTATAGACTGACCCTGGGATTGGAAAACCATTTTGTTGGGGCATTGGGAACCCCTAGAGCTCACTTTATCAAATTTTTAAAATAATCTCTTCGAAATTGGCCAAGGCAATACTATGGGTTTTATGGTATAAAAAATGTGTTAGAGAATATGAGAAGATGAGCCTAGACGGCTATGAGACACAAGAGCTTATTGTTCAATTTATACAAACAGAAATCAGAGCAAAGTGGACTGGAATTAAAGCTAAGTTACAAAACCTTCATCTAAAAAAAGACATTCAATAAATTATTAAAAAATTTAACCTGGACTGGCTGGGGGGCGCTGCAGAGAGGGGCTTGGGTGAGCTAAAATGGCCAGGGGAAGAAGAGATAGGAGGATCTCTAAAAAAAGACTTCCATCTCATCTTTCGGGATTGGTTCAAACTTCATCCAGGAACCTTTCTCATATCTCCGAATTGTTTTCCAGACCCATTTCCTCCGTCTGAGCTTGCTATGGTAGAAATGCAATGGTAACACGCAGGGATAGGATAGCTTGATTGAGAGACTCTATTTGGCGGTCCTAATGGACTGAAGAGACTTTCCTTTCCCTGTTGCTCTTCCGGAGTACTTCTTGCACTGCTCAGTCAATCCCYTGGAATACAGGGCAATCAATGCTGGAAGGGKTATGTTCTCTACATTGATCAAAGTTGGGTTTTGATTCTTCATTTCTACTTGGTAATTAAAAAAGAAGGGAGAGACTAGTTTTTTAGCAGTAGATATCTGGCGCCTGGTATAAGGGCGAAGAGGTTTCCTCCCCCCCCTTAACTACCTGCACAGTCAATCCTTTGGATACCAGAGTAACCAATGCTGGCAGGTTTCACAGTCAACTTCCTGTATTCATTTTGTATTCATTCTGTATTCATTCTGTATTCATTCTGTATTCATTATGTAAAGGGACGCTGGACCCGTTTTCCAGCAGGTGATGCTCCCCACCAATAGACAGAGCCTCTCCCCGGGTGCTAGTGGTGTCT